CTGGACTGGTGTGCATTGCCCATCTTGGGCTTGAGTCTCGCCGTTAAGCCTCGGACAGTTGTGGTGTGAAAACAATGGACCCCTCGGATTTGCTCGCCTTGCTTAGAGAAGGCGAGAAAATCAACCCGGCTCTCATCATTTAAAAAAAACAAACAAAGAATGCCAAGGGGTTGTTTTGCAACGTGGGGACGCCTTTTGTTAGCCCCGTCTCGCCAGCCTTGCCGTGGGGACACGCGTCGTGGCTCCTGCAAAGGCATGAAGGTTGAAATCGGATGGTAAGATCTTTGCCACCCCTTTCCACCGAAGGATAGAAGGCTGGTGGTATCTCCCCTTAAAGGGACACTGTCGTCCCTTTAAAAAAATTCTTATTAGGGTGAATGGTAGGATTTTTATCTGTATGGCATCGGGAGAGTCTGTGTTGGCTCAGGCATGTGGGAATGGCTGACGGTCAGATTCCAAAAGATCTCCTGTATGGAGAATTAGTGCAGGGAAAGCACGCCAGAGGGAGACCACAGCTGCGATACAAGGAGATCTGCAAGTGGAATCTGAAGGTCTTAGGAACGGATCTCAACAGATGGGAAACCTTGATGTCTGAGCATTCAGTCTGGAGGCAGGCGGGGCATCACAGCCTCTCCCAATTTGAAGAGACCCTTGTCCAGCAGGCCGAGGCAAAGAGGCAGTCCCAAAACCAGCAAAATCAGGGAGCTGGACAGGGGACAGATTGTATTTTTCTTCAATGTGGAAGGGACAGTCACTCTCGAATTGGCCTTCTCAGCCACACTAGATGCTGTTCCAAGTCCTCCGTGTACAGAGAATGTTACCATAAACTTGAGACTATCTAATCTCTAAATCGGGAGAGTGTATGTGTTTGTGGACAGGGAGCGGGGTTTGCTTTGAAGAGAGAGGCTGAACACACTAGATTCACACAAAGGCAATGGGCAGCTGACATTTTTCAGATACCTTTTTTTCCCTGTGAAAATTTCAGATTTTCTTGATTTTCCCCTGCAGTCGCCACTCTGTAGAAATCTACGTACTGTATGCCTGTTCCAATCCCATTCTGCTCCATTTGTGAGGGCTGCTTCCCCTTGCTCTGGAAAGGCACTGGGTGCAAAATGGTAGCCAGGGTATCCTTCTGCTGCTTGCAAGGGCAGATCTCTCTCTCTC